ATGAGATCAGTCAGAGGCCTGTACTACGAAGCCGGATTTTCGCTTTTAGCCGGCTGACTTCAGGGAAAATTCGGGCTTTCCGGTCCTACGACGCTGGTTCTCTTTTTAGCGGGCTAGATCTCCATGGTAACTTATGCTGAGTGGCTAACCTCCTCGGGAGGAGGTTAGGTTGCAGGCTAAGAGATCAACTCAGTGAAAGCAACGCCTGCTGACCAATCAGAGCTCCGTGTCATATTACAGGATAGAGGAAATACAGAAAAACTGCCGTTGCAGGAAAGACGGCCGGCAAAAATCAACTGACTGTGTGAACGTGAAAATTAATAGAATATCCCCTCCCATCTTCAGAGCAATCTGACTATTATAACATTAGCGTTAAGAAAGCTTACTTAAATATCTGCCACAACATAAGTAACCGGATCAGAGTAACATTAAGTACAGTCCGCGGCACTGTGAGTGCAGATGTCGATGTGTCCCATTATCATTCATATCATATCACATCATAATGTATCATATTTCCTTATCTGAGTCAGCTTCTTGAGCCGTATCTGGCCGTGCAACACTCACAGTGTCACATACTGTATGCAGAAGTATTATTTTAAGCAACACATTAAGTTGACGAAACACTCGAGTCAAATGTAATTAATTTTAGTTAATGTACGCATTCAAACGCTTTTTCTTTTACCAGCTGTATTCACCTTGCAGGTGCAGCTATGTGGCTTTTATCCTGGATAAAGTGTTTAAGTCATGGATGTTTAAAGTTTAACTTCTTCATATTTGTCTAATATTAAAGTTCACTTTTCATTCAGGAAGTATGACGCTGCGCTGTCAGTACGCTTGTCCATGTTTGAGATTGGTCGAATGCTCCAAATACCACCCCTTTCATGTGAACGCGCCCCTAACTAGATAGGACACGGCTGGCTTGAGCGATCCACTTGATATCCAGCGTTGTAGTACAGCTTAGCGAGAGCGCGTATGTTTTGGCTTGGGCCAACCGGCTAACTCAAACATATCCAGGTTAGGTTGAACCAGCTTCGTAGTACAGGCCTCAGGACTCTGAAGCTGACTAACTCAAAGAACAAACACTTATTTTAAACTGGATCCATAACTGTTGGATTGTGTTCATCCCTACAGGATCAGAGATGATGAGACGATCAGAGCCAAGGTCCAGAAGAACTGTGAGTACTGAATATCCTCCATTCATCAAGATATGAAACTCTTTCATGGAGCATGTCCTCAGAGGAAAACAACACTCTTGTTTTTCTCTCTTCATCATTTTGGCTGTTTCTCTTCACAACAACTGTCTATCAAAACAGTGACGCGTTCACTGACACTCTGTAAAATGTAAATAAACTCTGAAGAATAAAACACATGAAAACATCAACATTATAACCAGTCTGTTACAGTATTATCATCTAAATATACTTGAGCAAAAGTAGAAGTACTCAGATCTTGTACTTGAGTAAAAGTAGAAGTACTCGGATCTTGTACTTGAGTAAAAGTACTCCGATCTTCTCCTTGAGTAAAAGTAGAAGTACTCATATCTGGCACTTGTGTAAAAGTAGAAGTACTCATATCTGGCACTTGAGTAAAATTAAAAGTACTCAGATCTTGTACTTGAGTAAAATTAGAAGTACTCAGATCTGGCACTTGAGTAAAAGTAGAAGTACCAGAGTGTAGGAATACTCTGTTACAGTAAAAGTCCTGCATTCAAAATATTCCTCAAGTAAAAGTAGAAAAGTATTCTCATCAAAATATATTTAAAGTAGCGACAGTAAAAGTAGTCATTGTGCAGATTGGTCCATTTCAGAATAATATATATGATATGTTTTATAATGATTGATCATGAAAGTGTTCTCAAAGCTGGTAAAGGTGCAGCTAGTTTGAATGACTTTGTATACTGCAGGGTAGCTTGTGGATTTACTCCAGGTGGAACTAAAATCTGATTTAACACTTGGTTATATTTCACATCATTCATCCACATCTGTGAAGTAACTAAAGGTATTAAATACATGTAGTGGAGTAGAAGTACACCATGTACCTCTGAACTGTAGTGGAGTAGAAGTGCAAAGTAGCATAACATGGAAATGATCAGGTAAAGTAACTCAACATTGTACTTAAGTACAGTACTTGAGTAAATGTACTTAGTTCCTCTCCTGATCTGTAAAACTCTCCCAACATATGCAGGTTAGCATCCGGCAGCTTCTATGTGCTGGGGACCCGTACTGTACATTTCTCTCATCACACTTTGGGCTCCTCAACATGTGTGGGTTCCCAGCAGGACTCTCTGAGCTGCAGACACATTCTTTCTGTGACTTTGTTCCAGATATTTGGAGCATAATAACTGAAGCTGTTTCTCCATGTTCAGGAACTCCCATCCCCCGAGTCCTGCGGCAGGAAGCGCTCCTTCTCTCCAAGAACTCCTGGACCCTGCAAGCTGGTCCAGAACCAGAGTCCCAGTGAGGAGTCCAGCCAATCGACCTCTCAGAGTTAAACTACACTACAACATTATTAAAGATCATGTTTAAAGTTAAAAAAGGATGCTTTCACACTGAATCCAGAAGTTTCTCAAGCTGCAGTCAAAGCAGATCATTTGTGAAATATATAAAAAAATTATAAAACTGTAATAACAATTACTCTGAATACTTTCTTTGGACATTTTATTTAAACGACATTTTAAACAAATATTTTAAATGTTTCTGGCTTTCTATCTGAGTGCTTTTCTCATGAATTAACGACTTAAATCTTGTTTTCTTTCTTGTGTATTTCATAATCCTTCAGGATATTATATATTTTGATATCCCATTTGTTGTACTTATATCCTGATTGATGAGTCAGCAGTAAAGCAGCCAGGCGTTAACGGTCAGCTGGCATGTGTATCTGTTCATTGGCTCATATGTGTAGCATGTTTAATGGCAGTGTGTTGAAAATGGCTGACAGGTGAATATGTCAGATCTCTGTGTGTTACTCAGAGAACCGTGTGCAGTGTTTTAGAAAGTGCAGAGTTGAATTGCAGATTGTGTGCAGAGCTGAAAATGTGTTTAGAGTTCTGTTTGATTTGATCCAGCCAGTTCTGCCACAGCAAAGCATAAGGGCTCAGAGCTTGGACCTATTGTGTTCACATTATATACGCTTCCTTTAGGCAATATTATATATATATATATGCCGTTAAATACTGTGTATTTTGTAAAACGTTTAAAAAAATTATAATTTCTTTTTTTAATCTTTAATACTCTGTTGTATGCATGCTTTAGGAAACATGAAGCTGTCTTTGTCTCTTTTCTGCTGTAACAATGTACATGTATCCTCTGTGGGACTAATAAAGGTATTCTGATTCTGATTCTGATTCTGATTCTGATTACACCTGCAGGAGCTTTCAGGACATCCCATTCCAAACTCTTAGGCATTCATTTGAAGTTGGTCCCCCTTTGCAGCTATAACAGCTTCCACTCTTCTGGGAAGGCTTTCTCCAGATCTTGGAGTGTGTCTGTGGGAAGCCCTTTCATCCAGAAGAGCATTAGTGAGGTCACACACTGATGTTGGACGAGAGGCTGGCTCTCTGATCTTTAAAAAATATTTTAAACATAGTATATGCAGTATACAAAGTCATTAAAACTAGCTGCACCTTTACCAGCTTTGATAACACTTTAATGATCAATCATTATAAAAATCATATATATTATTCTGAAATGGACCAATCTGCACAATGAATACTTTTACTTGTGGTACTTTAACTATATTTTGATGCTAATACTTTTACTTTTACTTGTAACCGAGTATTCCTACACTCTGGTACTTGTACTTTTACTTGCAAGATGGCGGTAGTGACCCCCGACTGTAATATGCAACAAGGGGTGTTTCTCAATCGCGAGTAAAGCTGCTTCAGAGCCACTATTTCAAGCATACTACGTCATCGAGTGCCGCCGAAGTACTGTTCCAATCTCCAGTATACTTGGAAATCTACCGAGCCCGGCGTACTCCGTTTGGAGAAATATCGAGTGTGCACATGAGTAGACTTCGCGGTCTTAAAATCCCCACAATGCTTTGCGCACGGACCAATTTCCCCAAATCTGTGGCGGGCGGAAGATGTAAGGCGGGGCCTCTCATATGACGCACACCTGCACACTTGCTAGCGTGTTCCTCTCTTTGTTTTCCGAATGTCAGGAAGTATTCTTGACTCGCTTCTGAAGCAAGATGCTCGGCAGACATGTGCTACCAAGCAAGCGTACTCGCGATTGAGAAACACCCACAGTCTCACGGCATTTTGTTTGTTTATCTAGCTTCGTAGCAGGAAAAGGGAGCTGACGTCACTTCTGGTTCACTCTTCTTCTTCGTGGTGTTATATTACAACCCAGTCTCACGGCATTTCGTGTTATAGTCACGAAATTAATCTATTGATTGGTGTTCACAAACACGATTTCGCCAATTTTTTCTTTTTCGTGTCACACAGAACGATTTTAAAAGCAATGTAAATAATAACAAATTAGAAGGAAAAAGACATTTAAAAAAATACAGATTTAAGTATTCTGACACAGAACGATTTTAGAAGCAATGTATTTATATTGGTAGTATGTTTCGTGCCTGCACCAAATAATAACAAATTAGAAGGAAAAAAAGATGACATAAAATACAGATGTCAGTATTCTGAGGCTCTGAGCCATTTCTTTTCCTCACTGACGGCAAAAAAACTCAGACATTATACAATTATGCAAGAACCAGGTAAGAACATGTTTTTATGAACCACACAGCTTCTGGTCTTCCAAGACCCGACCGGACAAAAAGACGTGTTGCAGGCACGAAACATACTACCAATAGAAATACATTGCATTTAAAATCGTTCTGTGTAACACGAAAAAAAGGTGAAAATCGTGTTGGTGAACACGAATCAATAGATTAAATTATTATTAAAAATGTCGTGACTAATAACACGAAATGCCGTGAGACTGGGTTGTAATATAACACCACGAAGAAGAAGAGTGAACCAGAAGTGACGTCAGCTCCCTTTTCCTGCTACGAAGCTAGATAAACAAACAAAAGCAATACATTAATTAAATATATTAACGAGTCTGAGGTCATTTTTCATTCCTCCTATGTAAAGATATGTCTACCAGGAACTCTATGTTTTCGTGAATCCTCTACAAGTGAAGGCTAATACAGGTTAGCATTGGTTTTAGCTGTCTGTCAGTAGTTAGCTTCGTTAGCTTGTGATGTTTGTTTTACGTCTGGGAAGAAGCGACATGAAGAAGATGAAGAAGCAGTGTTAGCATCTGCTGCACAACTGAAGGTAAGATATGTCTATTTAATATCATTTCTAACTGATTTAAATACATGAAAAGCACAAAAAACTGTCCTTTTACTCAAGTTATTATTGTTGTTGTGCATCAGTGCATGGTTGCTTACAGCGTGTGAAACGTCACCACTGCAGTGTTTTTAAAATAATAATAATAATACATTTTATTTATATGGCGCTTTTTTATGGTACTCAAAGACACGTGACATGTTTACATTCTTAACAGCAACATTTAAAATAACATATATAAAACACAACGTTAAGATAACACTGACTTAACAATTACCAACATGGAGAATATTTAATTCAGATGTTGTATGATATGTTTGAACCCTTTAAGGCAATCACATATTTTGTAGAATTCATGGATTGCTATTATCTACATAACACCTATATCACACTGTTATTAAAATTATACATGAATACACCAATGTTACACCATTATTACACCTATATTATACCCATGTTACACCCTCATAACACCCGTATTACACCTGTATTATACCCACATTACACTGTTATTAGACCCATATTACACATGAATACACCCATGTTACACCATTATTACACCTATATTATACCCATGTTACACCATTATTACACCTATATTATACCCATGTTACACCATTATTACACCTATATTATACCCATCTTACACCATTATTACACCTATATTATACCCATGTTACACTGTTATTAGACCCACATTTTACACAAAGATACAGCCTATCAAATGACCGCATCCCCCAGGATACAGAAACTATTTAATAATAATAATAATATATTAATTTTGTTAGCGCTTTTACAGGTGCTCAAAGACACTTTACAGATATAGTGAAAATAAAATAAAAGAACAACAAATAAATATATATAGTTAAAGTCAAATTAAAATCAAGCAATACAAAAACAATCACACATTAAAAGCCAGATTGAAGAGGTGAGTTTTTGTAAGTTTTTTGAAGCTGGTGAGGTCAGTGCAGTCTCTGATGGGTTGTGGGAGTGAGTTCCAGAGGGAGGGGGCAGCGACGGAGAAGGCTCTGGCAGGGGGAAGGGGTGTGGTGGTGCAGCAGGTCTGTGAGGTAGGGGGAAGGGGTGTGGTGGTGCAGCAGGTCTGTGAGGCAGGGGGAAGGGGTGTGGTGGTGCAGCATGTCTGTGAGGTAGGGGGGGGGGGGCTGATTGTTGAGGGCTTTGTGAGTAATGAGGAGGACTTTGAAGTCGATTCTTTGACGGACGGGGAGCCAGTGGAGGTTCTGCAGGACGGGAGTGATGTGGTCTCGGAAGCGGGTGTGGGTTTGGGTGAGGAGGCGGGCAGCAGAGTTCTGGATATGTTGGAGTTTATTGAGGAGGTTGGATGGTATGCCGTAGAGCAGGGGTGTCAAACTCAAGGCCCGGGGGCCAAATCCGGCCCGCAACTTCATTTTATGTGGCCCGCAAGAGCTTGCAAAGAATATAATACGTTTATTATATGGTCACATGCCACTTTACAGAAGCAGGTGCCATGTCCCACAATGCATCTCATTTTGTGACATGCGCACTGAAGAGACTTGCAATTATTTGCCCTGGACTTCTGCTTTCAGACGTATATAATTATGAAGTTATTATCCTATCCGATAATAATCCAATGCAGAGGCAATAATGTAATATAATACATTATTTTATGTATATTATATATTTATATATGTATAGTTATATAGTTACAACCGGCCCTTTGAGTGCAACCATAATGCTGATGTGGCCCGCGATGAAATTGAGTTTGATACCCCTGCCGTAGAGGATGCTATTGCAGTAGTCGAGTCGTGATGTGATGAATGAGTGATGGGGTATTTAAGGGGTAAATGTGATATTTAAACTTACATTTGGGGCTCTATTTTAGAAATAAATCCTGTGGTCTTTATATTGTTGCATCGACTCAGTGGTCTTGTGTCTTATCTGTCAAAGAGAAACCATTATTTATTTTATTTCTATTATCATACCTTTGACCTCCTTGTGTCTATCTGATCAAATGTTATATTTTGCTGCATGTACCTTTTAAAGTTCTTAACAAATAATCTGAGGGGAATTTCTTGGTGTTTGTTTTTGATGTGTCATTTTGTAAAGCACTTTGAGCTGCATGTGTTGTATGAAAAGTGCTGTATAAATAAAGCTTTATTATCTTCTTCTCCTCTCTCCTCCACAGATTGTCAGGTTGTGGGAACCTTGGCGCAGGTTTTAACCCGAAGTGCTCTCCTTTCATCTGGTCTTCATGGCGTGGGCTCTGAAGCTTCCTCTCACGGACGAGGTGATCGAGTCTGGTTTGGTGCAGGATTTCGATGCCAGTCTGTCGGGCATCGGGCAGGAGCTCGGGGCGGGGGCGTACAGCATGAGGTACTGCAGACATCTGAATCAGAAACCCTTTACTAACGGGAAGGGGGTTGAATATTCTATATCAGCGGTTCCCAACCTTTTTCAACTCAGGGCCCACTTAAGAATACAAAAAAATATATATAAAAATGTTTCGTGGCCCACATCGAACAATAAACAATACGGAGGCTAAATAAAGTTCTGATTGGTCGATTCAGAACAGGGTCTCCAGGGTCTTCAGGGTCTCCAGGGTCTTCAGGGTCTCCAGGGTCTCCAGGGTCTCCAGGTCCAGACCGTGACCCCCCAGCTGGTTCTGAACTCTCAGGGTCAGATCATCGCCACGCTGGGAAACGGATGTGCTGTGACGTCGGCTGCAGTTCTGCCCAAAGTCGCTGCTCCTCCAACATTCACCAAACCCATCTCACAGGTACAGCCTGTCTGTGATTGGGTGGAATACAAAGTGGTTTCTGCTTTGAAACAGACCGAAAGCTACTGAAAGCTTATAAAGTGGTGCAGTGATGACGTATTTTTGTAGGCCGCATGGGTTCCCTCGACAAAAAAAGCAACGGGATTTCTCCATAGGATTTTGGAATATTGTAAAAATGAAGATCTGTGGAAAACGAACCTGTTTGATAAATGCACGTTTTGTTCAGCCGGATAATCTCCACATGTCTACCCTACTTTTATAATTTTTCAAATCATAAATCTAATCGCCAGAAGCAAAATGCTAATGTGATGCTATGAAGGAACTACAGCCGAGTACAGCAGCACGACTTCAACGTCACGCCAACTTAAGATCCATATTCAAACACACAGATTCTAAATGTTACGAGTTGAAGCGTTTGTTTGAACAGTTAGCAGGAGGCAGGTACTTGCTTTCAAGCAGAACAGGGCAAACTAACTTACAGGAGTGTTTACGTGTTCGGCGTAATGACGTACAACGGCCTCCACAACTTCTGTAGTCCTATTCAGCCACTTGGTAACAACAGTAGTGTTACCAATCCCGCTTCAATCACATTAGTATGCATAAAAAAGTGACAGGTCACACCTTCTAAGTCCCGCCCCCTAATTATGCTAATGAGCCCCCTTTGATATGCTAATGAGCCCCTTTGTTCGAGGTGTTATCGCGTATAGGTGTTACATCCCCCCGGTAGCCCCCACCCCCCTCAGCCCGCCCCCCTCCCCCTCACATACAGGTGTTACATCCTCACCGGTAGCCCCCACCCTTCTCAGCCCCCACCCTTCTCAGCCCCCACCCTTCTCAGCCCCCACCCCGCTCAGCCCCCACCCTCTCAACCCACCACCTCCTTACAGCAGGTTTCACATCCCCCCTGTCGCCCCCACCCCCCTCCTCAGCCCCCACCCCTCTCAACCCCCTCCTCCTCCCCCCTCCTGTCCGGTCGGCATGTTCGTTACAGTTTAAATCTTCCGGGGCAGAATTAGAAAAGTGCCGGTTAAAGGTCTTCTATGTTATTTAATGAGCTTTGAAACAAACTGATATGATTCGATATTAAACCAACTAATTATAGTAGATTAATTAACTATTCAAAAACGTGTACAGTAATTTACAATAACACGGGAATAATAAACGGACTGCTCTCCCCCCTCCTGACAACACGTCAGTATCAACGTCGCGGGTCCAATAATGAGTGACTCGACAGTAAAACTAAAACATATCTATAAATAGTTTAGGTAGTTTGAGAGGTAAATAAAATAGCTACGTGTGATATCTGAAGAGTGTGTTTTGTTCCGCTCACCGCATGCAGAGATGCATGTCGAATAGTCCGCAGCATCGGATCTCCCCCCGTCAGCAACAGCGGGTCTCCCCCCGTCAGATTAGACTTTACTAGCGTTTATGTCCATGCGCAATCAGCCCATACAGGACATCTTTTGTCTGTCACACACTATTCTTGTATGTCACATAAGTGGTGCAGCTGATGCTGTATTGCGCTAAAGGGGATATCATTTTGGCCGGAGAGATTTCCCTCCACACACACACACACACACACACACACACACACACACACACACACACACACACACACACACACACACACACACACACACACACACACACACACACACACACACACACATACCCGTATTCCCCTCCTACCCAGCCCCTTTTTATTTATTTTTAATAAGAGTTGGGTTAATAACTAAGGAGGCTCTCTTGAAGTGTACGGATGGTGAACTAATGTTTAATTACTAAACTAACTATAAGGGCCTCTCTTATTGAAAGGAGGGGTAATCTGGTAATAAATGCAACAAAGTCTCTCTGAAGAGGTTGGCAATAAATTAAAGATCTTAATGACCCCATGGTGTTTGGTTTTTTCTTTATGTTTAATTACATCAATCCATTAATAAAATAATCCCTATATGAAGTTATATGTGTCATCTTTCCTGAAACTGACGTGCTGTCCGTTTTACAAACAAGTTATCTTTCTGCTTCTTCACCCCTGAATTTTCCTCCCCCGTCCCTATTACTTCAGCCATCACAACAGCAATCAAGTCAGATCTGTGAAATTAAACACCTCTTCCCAAAGCGTGACTTCCCTATTGGGGGAGTGGGGCAGTAGGGCCTAACCCGATTTGGCCAAATATACTAACATGCAGAACATATGGTATGTTTGAAAAAAGACTAACCATCTATCCAGTTCAAGCTGTCTTTAAGATGTGACATTGCGCTCTGACTTTTTCCCGTAAAATCGTGACAAACTATTACTTAAATTTGACCTCATACTGCTTGGTTGAAAATGATAGATGAGCATTTTACCAACAGATCAACGCGCAATCAACCCATACAGGACATCTCTTTCTACACATTATGTGTTATCACTATAATATCATGTCATTATTTAATGTTGTTTTGTTTGTGTGTGTGTGTGTACAACGAAGTCTCTTTGAGAGGAAAAATTATAATTTAAAGATCTTATTACCCCCTTATTGTTTAACTACTTCACACAACTATTAAAGAATCCCTATATGAAGTTACATGAGGCTACATTTACTGGTGTGCTTCCCTAGATGATGTAAATAGTCTAAGTGTCATGTTAGGGGGGCATTACGGACCTCAGGAGTCCGCCCTTGGAGGCTTGGAGAGCGGATAAAGAGAGGTGTATTTTACTGGTGTTGAGCGCTGGATGATGTAAATAGTCCAAGTGCCATGGAACTCAGGAGTCCGCCCTTTGAGGCGTTGTTAACATTAATGCTTTTTGCTTTTGTTTTTGTTACTAAGATACTTTTTAGCCTTATGATAGGATGAACTTAAGCTGTAGTCAATAAAGACATGTTTAATAGAGTGTTGCTGGTAGAGAACATACCTGCGCAGCACTCCACCACGTCGTGGCTTTGGCTTCATGGCCTTCACTGTCCTCTCCCTTTGAGTTTTTTCAAAGGCTGGGATACATTTTCCAAATGATCACTTGTTACATGGTGACAAACATATGGTTATATAACCTTAAAGAACTAACAAAAAATAATTAAGTATTTGCAATGCATAAACATAGAAGTTATCACTGTCATATTATGATTACTTAATGTAAGTAAGTTTAAGTAAAACTAACACAAGTCAATATTATTCACCTGGGCATTAGTGGGCTTGAGGGTCTCAGGGAGCGTGGACAAAGTGACTTGTCTCTGTATTTGAGGATTCTCAGTGCAGGCACTAACAGGAAGCTGCTGTGCATTAGTGGAGAGTCCTCTGAAGGCAGCTGTTATTTCATTCACACACTCATCTGTTACCTGCTGACTCCTCATAGTAAGTCTAGCCAAGTCAGCTGTTAAGTTGTCCATACCATCGCTTGATAACTGGTAACTTTTGATTGACAGTCCAGCCATGGCAGCTGCCAACTCGTCCATATAATTCTTAAGAACGTGGTGACAATACTACAAAAAAGTGTATATATTAGGTCAGTTAACCTTGAAGAGCTAAACAGTTCAAGTGGTAAGTAACTAAGTATTTGCAATGAATAAACATAGAAATGATCACTGTCATATTATATAATCACTTAATATGGAGATAAGTAAAACTGACACAGACAGTTTAAACTGCTTGTTAAAACGCTATTGCTTATTGTGTTTTCTCAGCACACTAACATAAATAAGGATGTATAATATAAAAAACTAGAAAACGATATAGTATTTTCAAGTCTTAATTTAGTATGGTAAAATTAAGAATAAGTCACATTAAAGTGTGTCATGATTTTCCGTAAAAAAGTCAAGTATAGTTTGTCAAAAGAATATGAAAAAATCATTTTGTAGAGTAGTATGTTGAAAATCTCAGTGTTTAACTGAACACACCTACATGTGATAACGCCTCGAACAAAGGGGTAATTAGCATACAAAGGGGGGTCACTAGCATCAGAGGGGGAAAGGTGCTACGGGAATGAACTTTGAGGAGGGGGAACTTGTAAGAATTTCCAGCTTTTGAAGACAATTATATGGTACCCGTCCTTACAGCTAAACAAATCCTATGCCAGGTATTCTACAGACCACAAGAAGCACAAGAAGCCCCAGAAAGGATTACATTCAGAGCTAATAATGGTGAAACCGAAGAAGAAGCAAAGCAGATTATAATCGTTGCGGGTGAAAGGATAGAGAATTTGCAAGTGATGTTAATGCACTTATCTGATATAAAAAAAAATGCATTCATTTACTTCCAAGAGACCCCTAAACATCTACTTGGGCAATGTGAATTGAACGATAAACCGATCACTGTAAATGAAACGCGGAGAGAAGCAGCAGTGCAAATCGTTAAGTCTATTACCTTGAATGCACTACGACATTAACTTGGTCAAATGTAATATGTCTTTCTGAAAATGTGGCGAATGGTGTGTTTTTCAATTAAGCAACCATAACAAATGAAAATGTGTTTTATTTTTGCTTTCATATATAGTAATAGTATTAACTCCTTTGACTAGACTGTACTAAAATAAGACGTTTCACTGTTAAATAAAAAATGGAAGTAGAAAATCGAGATAATGATGAGGTTCGTTATGTATCCAGTAACTATGAACAGCAGTTGAAAATGTTATTTAACCCTTTAACTCTAATAGACAAATCTAAAATAGCCTCTAGCTTATCTATACATTTGGGATTTTAACACTTATTCACTGACACAAGGCAGATTATGGCTTTTTTCTCATGCCAAGATACTTTTAGACACACTCTGAGGTATGCAAAACCTTAAAACTAGAAAATGAAGTACATTGTCTGATTAGATTTTTTCGTAAAGACTGTTTCTCTAAAAGGCAAGTTTGTGATTTTTAACACTTATTTACTGACACAAGGCAGATTTTGACTTTTTTTCTCTTTTCATGTGTTACCAAGATACCTTTTAGATACACTTTTATGTATGCAACACTTAACAAAGGGGTATAATATGAAGTACTTTGTAAGGGAATGGGGGTTTCTTTAATACCCCTTTTTTATTTCTAAAAAACACTTGTACAGTTAAATAATGTAGGTTTTTCTCTGATATTCTAGTTATTTTCAGCTACCAAGATACTTTTGTTGATACACTTTTATGTAGGAACATTTGGCAACTGGTAGAATGTCAATTAT